AAGTTGGCGCAAAATAGACTAGAAAAAGCAGACCATAAATCTATGCGGTCCTTCGCCGGCCGAATAAATCTAGCAGCGAGCTTCGTGCGACGAGATTACGCTGCCTTTATACAACTCTATGCAGTACCGCAGCGGAGTTCTACTCTCCACGTGCCCTAGTGGGGAGGCAGCTGCTCCGCCATTCAAAAATGGAAAAAGAAAACATGCCAGGCGCTAAAAAATGGAAAGATAAAAAAGCGGCTGTCACTCGCAAGGAGCCAATGAGAGTAACCGCACCGATATTGCACACAGTCGTCGCGGGGCGTGTGGCGTATTGCGTCGCCACGCACAAAGACCCGGCTCGCTTACGCGTCCCGTCTCTGTCGCACTCATGGGGGGTCACTAGGGTGTGTGGGAGACGGGGCGACGTGCCCCAGACTCGCTCGCCAGCTGCTCCCCCTTCGCCGAGGAATTCTTCTGTCTCGAACCGCAAGACACTGCGACGACCGCCGCGCGCAAAGGGGGACCCCTTTGTCGCAGCGCGGCTCCGCGAATTCGGGCGAATCGCGTCGTGTCGCAATACGGATAAAAGCATCTCGTTATGTCCGACGTGCTTACATGATCCTGTTGGTCGCCTCCTCCCATTCGTCTTGCCATTGCTCAAGGCTTTGTGTCCCGGGGGGCTGGGCCGGGGGATCCCTTTGTCTGTCAGGCTGTCCGTAGGTGAGCAGGTGGCGGGCAGGGCGTGGCGCAGGGCGTGGCAAGGCAGGGCGTGTGGCACAGGGTGCCGGAGTAAACAGATGGCCACGTCGCTTCATTTGGCCGTCACCCCACCTGGCAGACGTCTCGGCCGCCCGTCCTGGATCAGCCACACACCGCCAATTTCTCATCTTGGACAGTGCGGTGCGCCAATGTCTGTGTTCGTGTGTGTGATGCTACTTGCCTAGCACAGCGAGTTTAATAAAGACAACATCAAATATCTTACCTCTTAAAAACAGGATTAAAAAAAAAACTGCCAGTTGAAGTCAGCCTATCGACTGGATTAATGGGATGGCCTCAGTGAACAAAGCTCTAATACAAGTGACAAGTTTACCAGTAAACAAATCGTCTCATAGTTTGCCTTTTTGTTGTCGTTTTTTGTGGTGCCGGGGCAGCGGAGATCTGCAAGGAGTGTGGCGAGGCAGCAGATGCGAAGCAGATACGCTCACGTCCTCTCGTCAGTATGTATGTGTCGCAAGTGAGGCCGAGTGGGGTGGGTGGGAGAAGTCGGATCAAGCCAAATGGGGAGGTAGGCCGAGGGTTGGCCGGCCGAGCTGGCCACAGTCGCCGCCCTGGCGTCCCGCCTGTGTAATCCCACGCTCTGCCCCCCACCACCACCGGTGGGTGACCCGGGGTCACCACAGGCCAATCAAGCAACCGAAGAGCCGGGTTACCTCGCTGCGTCCGTAGAAGCTTTTCCACCACTAGCGCCAAATTGAAGAATTACCATGTTTTCGCTTGTAGATCCTCCTCGCTGGAGAAAACGGAACCCACGGCGGGTATTTGCATCGCAGTGCCGATCCGAAACAGAACTATCCCCGATTTAAAATGGAATCCTCCCTCGTGAAGGACCCCTGCACAATCAACGGGCCATTCAGCGCCCGGGTTCCGGTCCCTGGAATCCTGGAGTGTGATCTTTCCAATCGCGGAGGCACAATCAGGCCGACGACTCGCCGCCATGTAAGGAGCCACTGGAATTAATTGAACCTGGAACGAAAGTGGGGAGGGGAGGGCCCTGTTAATACACCGCAAGGTTCAGTCGGCGATCCGAGCGCCACGGGCGCCTGTGAAGTCGAGGGTAGGCCACGCGGTGGGCACGTGTGTGCAGCGGGCTGGCCTACCCTCGGATTCACAGGCGCTGAGGCCGAGTGTGAGTAGTGCCTTCACCGTCTAAAAAGCATGACACTATTCATAGTTGTTTTTTTTTTTTTCAGAAAAGGGGGAGAAACAAGTCTTAGCGGCCAAAAAAAGCACACTAAACCCAGCATACGTAACAAAAACCGAAGGCGTGTTGCCGTGATCGTTTGTAATGTGGTTCGGTGAGTCTTCGGAAAGCAGTGCCGAAGTGGCCTGTTGTGTTTCCAGGTGGAGCCCCTCCTCGTACCCTTCCGGTGATTTAGTCATCGTTTCGCGCTTGCCCGAACCTAGATCGTATAGTCATCCGGGTCCGTTCCCGGAAGGCAGCGGCCCCCCTCAGAGTCCGGCCCAGGTGGCAGGAAGGGGTGGGGGAGGTCAGGTGAGAGCCGAGCGCGCCTGCCGGGGGAGGGGGGGGTTACAATAAAGAGGGGATAGGGGGAATAAGGAGGGGCGGAAAGAAACGAGCGGATGGTAAAAGAGGGGGCAAGGTTTACAGGGAGGGCCCCCTTTAAGCCCCCGGGGGATGCGCTGTCCGAAGACAAATGACGAGCGGCCCTTGGCGGGGCCCTCGGTGGAGCCCTCGGTGGGGCCCTCGGTGGGACCCTTTGCGTGCGGCCACCAGCCCTTTGACGCCGCAACCTGTGGTGGTGGCCAGGCTGTGCCGCGTCCGCACACGACTGGGGCTGCGCTCTTTACACGCGCTTTGACGTAACCGTCGACACCGTGCGAGGAGTGAATGCTGTGCATGTATGGGGACTTGTGAAAAAGAAATTCTTCAGGCCAGGTTTTTACTTAGGCTCACGGTCGGTTTACAATGAGTGACGCGAGAGATGTGACGTCATCGCAGAACATGTTCCAAAAAGGAGGTGGAATCCGGTTACCTCCACATGATACTGTTTGACGTGGGGGAAGCCGTTTTTAAAGCCAATTTGAATTTCCCGCAAAAACGAGGCGGCGGCGCTGGCCGTGTGGTCGTGGCTGCGACGGGCTGCGAGCAGGTGCTAACGGCGCGGGGCTCTCGGGGAGGTCTTCAAACCCGAGGAGAGGGACGCGTCGGCCGGCCGTAAAGGGGCCGCCCTTAAAGCACGCGGCAGATTAGCCGCGGAGGGGTCAAACAGAAGCGGCTTTATGGACGGCCCCGTCGGCCCCGTCGGCCCCGCCGGGTGCCGCAAGAGGGGCCTCGGGGATCCCCGCCCAAAAGGCCGGCCGATGGCGCGCCGTGGCCACGCCGTGGCGGTCGGCGTAAAAGCGCAAAGTACTCCTGCCGGCCGTTACTCGGGCCGCAGAGAGGGGCGCGAGACGGACCAGTGAAAGCTTGCGAAAAGAGAGACAGAGAGAAAGGGGATCACATCACGGGTCGACGAAAAAAGGAAAACAAAGAAGGAATCAGCAGGAATCATGCGCAGCTGGACACGAGTGGGAAGCCAGGCTGAAAAATTGGCGGCACTGCAGCAGCGTGGCTCTGCATGCGGCGTTGCCATAGCGTTGCCATGGCGACGGACGTCAATGTTGGCCGTGAGGGATGGCGTCCATAGTTACCTGTCCGGCGAATCGGATCCAGGGCAGTGTAAAACGGGAGGGGGAAGAGGGCTGTTTGAAGGGTAGGGTTGCAAATAAGGGTAGGAAAGGGAGGGGGCCTCAAATAAAGGGTGGTTAGGGGTATCAGGATTCGCCGGGAGGGGAGGTGGGGGTTAGGAAGGGCTTTGAGAGCGGCGGGGATGCATGGTGTGGGGAGCGGATGTCACAGGGACAATGGGGGGCATAGGGTGGCGGCGGACAGGATACAGCCCGTATTGGTATGAAGGCGTTGGAGTGAGGGTGTTTAGGTGGCGGGCTGGAGGGGGCAGTGCGGTCCCATAGCCAGCGGACAGGCCGGGGGTGCGGTGGCTGCCCACCACCTGGCATGCCTATCTCAACATGTATGGGTGGCTCGATAAATCACGCGCCGGTGAAAACGCGCGGAGACAGCTCCCCAGAGAACAGTCACCCCCTCCCTCCCTCTCCCCAGCGCCCTCGACCTACCAGGCCGCCACCGCGCAACCCGAGCCGGCGAGCCCCACCACCTGTCCAAGCCGTCAATGTCCGCCCCATCGCCTGGGATCAAATTACCTTTTTGTTGGTCAACCCGGCGACGGCCAATCACGTCCTTCCTCCAGCACTGAGCCCCACCGCCACCACCGCCACCGCCCAGGGCCCCGCAGGCCGGCAGGCCATCCCTCAGAATTGATACGACTGGGACTACCCCAGACAGCCCAGCCTGGCCTAACCTAACCCAGCCTGGCCTAACCTAACCCAGCCTCCCAGACAGCGCCGCGGTGTACAGTATCGACTCGCAAACTTCTCGACAGCGCCGCTTCTTCGTCGGCCCGAAAAAAAAAACAACAAAAACAAAAACAAACAGCCGGCGGCCACATCAGCGGCGCCCCGAGTGCATACCCACTCCCGGAAGTAGTTCCTGAATTTTCCAAAGTTCCCCCGTCGCTGTGGGTTGGCGACGCTGCCGTGGGGAGTTGAACCTGTGGAGCCCAGCGCAAGTCAGATCACTGTCGCTTCCACGAGACGACTGCCTATAAAGTTTAGTTCCTGTCCCGAGACGAGTCAAAACAGTTTTTTTTTCTCTCCTCTCTCTGCTCGTTTGTCAGAGCCACTCGGCTAATCACGTTCGATTGATTCGCGTTCCCGGCGGCTCGAATCCCCCGGCACTGCCGCCACTGGGGAACGACCAGGGAACGAGCTGCACTCGGTCACGGCCCGCTGTTTAATCACTGCCCCGGGTAGTTACAGACCTAGTTACAAGGCCCGTGCACAGGCCCACCCCATCAGCACGACACTGTGAGTCAAAGGGACAGAACGACACGCCGAGGGACATCGCTGTGAAACGCTCGAGGAAAACTGTGCGACAACTGTGTGACACGCCGAATGAGCCCTACACTAGACAGCTTCATTCCAGCCCACTCCGATCGCCACCTTTTGTGACGTGTGTCTGCATAATTGATTCCGTTTGTGCCTCCACTCGACCTGATCGACGCTGCCTGCTGTTGTTTGCCGTTCCGAATCACGGGCCGCTTCATACCGGCGATGGAGTCCCACAGGCCCGCCGTTTTGGACTGCGTTTAGCTACTCACCTGGTCGGAGGGCGGGTGCCTGCAGAGAGAGGGGCAGCAGCAGTAGCAGCACTCGGCCGCACCTCATCTTAGCGGTCTGGCGACATCGCTACGCCGCCCCTGCAACACCAAACAGAGATTCGGTTGTAGAGAGTCCTTTTGGCAAACCATTATTTTGTGCTTTTGGAAAAGTTACTGTTAATAAAACATAGAGCCCAGATTGGTGGTTACAAGGGGAGAACTAAAACGCAGGCACAGCCACGTTGAATTGCATGACTTCATCGACCTCTTTGTTGCATGATTGATTTTTGTGTTGTTTTTGTTGGTGATTTTTTTTTCTGAGAGCGAAGAGACGAGGAAGAAGGCCGGTCGCAAAGGCAGCCGCACGGACATCAAGCATTCGAGTCCCCCCACCCCTCCTCCACTTCCCGGGTGGCTGTTTGCACACGAGATTGGCGAGGGCTGGATTTGCAACACACTGCTCATCCACTGCCGACTCGGCCGGTGAGTCCAATGTGCCCTCGGGGGGCGGGGTTGCGTGCGAGGCGAGCGCGACATTGTCTTCGCCGTCCTCCTGCCGTCAGCAGCGTGCGCATCCTTGGGCCGATTCGGACGCGGCCCCTTCGATGGATGCGACAATGCCGCCCATTCACAACACCGGGTGTGCAGCGCGCAGCGTGCAGCACAGCGTGCAGCACAGCGTGCAGCACAGCGTGCGCCGGGACGGATCCGAACCGGAAACCGTGTTCCTCTTCGCCGCTGCGCGCCACTCCGCCGCTGTGAGCTGCTTTGCACACCCCACCCCCCTTTTCCGGATCCGCCGCGCCCCGGACGGTTCCTCCGGGTTCCATTCACCCGTTCACCGCCATCCCCTTTCTTCGCGCAGCGTAATTCCGAGTTTAGTTTAACGGCGGCACCGCGCTCATGTCGGACGGAGCACCTGCAGATGTTGGGCAGTCCGGTGCAGAGTTGCCCCGAACGGCCCTGACCCACTTACAGTGGCCAATTACGAGGAAGGGAACGGTAAAAGTGAGACCTCGAAAACAAACGAGGCACCTGCCCATATATACAAGGGAAAAATAAGATATTTTAATAACTTGTGTTTATATTTTTTGGAGGGTTTTAGAAAATAAACCACAAATCAGACATTTCTTTTCACAGTGTAGGGAAGAAGAAGTGTCCGCGGATCTCTTCCTGGTTTGGCTCGGCCTGCCTGGCGTCGATCCAGAAACTTCCCCATCCGAAGCACAACAAGGGAGAGAGGGAGAGAGAGAGAGAGAGAGAGAGAGAGAGAGAGAGAGAGAGAGAGAGAGAGAGAGAGAGAGAGAGCTGTTTCCGGCGGAAGCGCGCCTTTCCGGATTGGCCAGTTCATCAGTGCTGGCTGCATGTGGGGGATGCGGCAGGACAAGGAATTCCAGCTCACGCGGGACAGATTGCAAAGTGTTTCCTCGAATGCCAGGGCCGCGGGCGCAGGCAGGGCTGCCTCCCCGGGCATTAATCGAGGTCAAATGCTGGTCGCTCGTAGGCCGCAGAGTTTCATCGAGCCGATATCGAATGTACATCGATCATCCAAATCTCCGCCGCCTATCTCACTAGGAAGCGTGCGAGCGCCTCCCCGGCGGGCAATACACGCCACACGCTGTCCCTCTTGCACTCGTGAGGCGCCCCGTGGGGAGGCGAGAGAGACAGAGCCACTCCCCCTCCACACACGGCAACCTGGCGCTATCAGTCGTCTCCCCGGAGCAACAGCTGCGCCGAATCCCTGCGAGGTTACTGGCGGAGGAGCCGGCACACTGTGGGGAACGCGGTCAAAGGGAGCGAGAGAGACAGCCACGGCATGCAGCGCAGAGAGAGTGAGATAAGAGTCGGTAGAAAAACACGGCTCAGGGGCAAGGACACGCCACCCCGGAAACTTAGAGAGTAAAATTTTTCACTTTCGATTTTCGGAGTGTTTCACTGACGTGCGTGTACGCGATCCCGCTTTCTCTCCACTGTTCATGACGTGCTATCGGTGCACGTCCTGAGGGCGCGGCTCCGGGAAGACAAACGAGGCTGCGAGGTGTTGGTGGCGCCTCGCGGCTTGCGGCCGGAAACGGGCGAGGCGAGACATGGCAGCCAACAGACGGACCGACCGAATGGGCATATCAATGGCACGATCAATCTGCCGGCTGTCGATCGGCAGGAACACGTTGTTCGAGACGTCACTGGTCGTTTTTCCAAGCAGTGCGGCCTTCCACTAATCTTGTTGTCTTTTTCCAGTGGCCTCGCCAGTCGCTCTCGGAATAATTTGGCGGCCGACAAAGGGCCAAAGATTTGCACTTTGCCGCAGTCACACCATAAAAAGGCCGCCCGACGTAAGGCGAACCGCAGGGCGCTTTTCGTTTCATTCCATCCGCCCGGTTTTGTTATTTTCATTTCAATTCCCTTGGCCTTTTTTTTGTTTCGCGTTCCTCTGGGCCATTTATCCTGGATTTTTGCGAGAATCACTCCAGCGAGGCCAAAACGGTTCCATTGTTGGCGGGGACACCTTTGTCTCGCGGTGCTGTGCCGTCCAGGCTGCGGCCGGACCTTCCGGATGAGACCCCCCCCCCCCTCCTTTCTCCCATCTCACAACACTTTCCCTCTTCTTTCCCCTCATAAGCAAATTACTTATTCCCCCTTCCGCCCCACTGTGACCCCCCCCCCTCCCTCCCACATGCAACGCGGCCGGCCATTGTACAGCCGATCCCCCCTCCTCTTCATTGTTCATGTAATCACGCTCCACCCGTATAAAATATGTTTACAAAACGGCCTAGTACAACACGGCGGTGCCGCGAAAAAGGGACAAAGACGCCGTGGGCGGGAATTCCACGCCAGGGCTGTGCCGCTGGCGCGCGTCGCGTATTGGTTCGTGTGGAGGTATAAGAGTGCACCGAGTGCAGCAAGGTTCCCAGCAGATTTCGGGTGTATAAAGTCTTCACTGCTTTAAAAATCTAAAAGATTTCCTAGTGCTTGTCGGAAAAAGAAATTCTGCGGTCCTCCGTATATAACTCCGATTTAAATTTTTTGATTGCGAGTAACTGCAGCAGAACAGAGATGGCAGCCACTTATGCACTTCCCTCCAGCCAGACCACACAAGGCATTCCGCAAACTCTGCAAGCACCGCCGCCTTGTCCCTTGCGACGCGAGGCCCAGTGTTTGTCGGAAGAACGGGTGCTTTAAGAGTGGAAACAGTGGCGAACCCTGCGGCGGGGACGGTAGTGGAGGTCGGAGAGTCCTCTTCGGTCGCTGGCCGCTTTGACGCACAGCAGCCGCTAAGCTGCTACGCGGTGGCTGGGCAGCGCTAGGGCAGCGCTAGGGCAGCGCTCGGACCGCGCCAACCTCACAACTACTCTCTTGTCGGCCACTCTCGTATGTATGCATGCAAATGCAGTCAGTTCTTCGCTCGTTGACCTTCCGTGTTTGCAGTGCGGACGGCGCGGCCGCCACAGAGTTTGACGTCCGCCACACGTGTGGGCCTCATTCAAAACAGCGACGCTCAACGCAACCTCGCCGTTTACAGCCGTTTTTGGCACCCCGAAACGGCCAGTAAAAATATTTCAGGTCGAAGAAACAACCAGTAGGCGCTCATGACAATTTTGGGAGTAAAAAAAGGAATTTTAACATGTAATAATTTTAACTTTGTTACACTTTTTACTGTCCATTGTTGTCTGATTTTACATTTTTTACCATAGAATTGCAGCCTGAAATGAAGCCTCAAGCAACTTGGTCCGTTTTTCTACTGCTCTGGGTAAACACGGATGCAGTGCGCGCGGTGGATGTCATGTCCAACAGAGGAGCGTTCTTCGTCGTCCGAGGGCTCGCTCTGCTCGCAGGCCGATTCTGCCACCCTGTCTCCCCTGCTTTGCCGCGCCACTTACAAATTCCGTTAATAATTTATTCGCGGCCGCACACGCCAACAACTCTCAAGAAATCCCTCACGTACATAGAGCCGCGTAGGGGCAACACCTGAGTACACTGCGGGACGTGAGCAGACAGGGAACAAGTTCTCGAGGCTTAGGCAGCGGCGTGCGGTCGGAACGCACTGCCTACCACGCATCACCGGACAGCCCGCACAACATGCTCCCGTGCAACTACTTTACTTTGCTAAAGAAAGTTGGAAAAGTCTTTGGTTCGAAGTCTACAGCACATTTGATTCCCCACGTGCAGCAGCTTTAACTAAACAGAATTAAAAACGCTGTCTTTAAAATTTAAGAAGTGAATTAACGGAGCTCTGTGAAAGCAAGCCGCGCCAGCAGAAGTAAACCAGCAGTTGGGTGAATCTGTGTACACTGTGGTGAGCTTCCGAGGCTTTTTCTTTCACCTCGGCGCACCGCGTGGCGGCTGCGGCCGTAAGAGCGCCGCGTCTGGAGCGCTGGCCTGAATCCGCTTATGGGGCACCGCCCGGCCCGCCGGCCCCGCCGCCAGCCTCCAGGGCTGATGACGGCGGATCTCTTCCAGGCCATATAAGATGGACTCCGCAGCGTAATCTGGAGTGTCAAAGGCAGCGGAGGCAAGCACATCGCCACGGCGTCTGGCGAACACCGTCAAAGAGCAGCAGGGGGGACGTACGAAAAAAACCGACACATATCGATTTGCTTTTTGTTTGTTTTTGTTTCACGTACAAAAGTAGTCGTCGTTTAGTGAAAGAGTTGGGGACGCTGTACAACTTTTCAGGCGTGCTGGTATCGACGTAATGGTGGGCTTGATTGTGATGATACCCAAACAATGGCGAAAATACCAGCGAGCAGGCAGGCAGACATGCACCTCCCCCTCCCAAACGACCGTGCTTCCATACCGCACACATCAACCCTTCCACCCTGCCGAAAAACCCAAACACCGCGTCCAAAGTTGTTTTGGTGAGTCGTGGCACGCGTGGTGACGATACGGAGGCACAGTACCGACATCCAGCTCTGCCTCCCGGCAGCCCAGCCCGCCACGTTTCCTAATGGTGTCTTCCATGGCCGCCATTACGGGCCCCCCAACGGGGCCAGGTTTCTCACGAAAGGCATTCGCAGTATAGTGCGGCGTCCTGATACATAAAGATAGGTGGTGCAGCCCCCAGCGCGTGCCGAGGAGACGTCTAGGACGCACCCGA